GAAAAACTACATTTAGCAGCAAATCCTGCTGGCAAAGATTTGATCCTTCAAAACTGTTCTTTAAAGGTACGACCGTACTCTTTTGAAGAAACCACCTTATCCCAGGTGGCACTGATTGAGCTTCCGATTGGTCCAATGACCCTTATACACCCTGTATATGTGTCACAAATGGAATCAATCTTTTTTCTAATAGGACAAGATCTTTTAAACTGGTTTCAACCTTTGATCAATTTCAAAAATCTCTAAGTCTGGGCACAAGTATGCCAACCGATATCCATTGCTTTCTCTCCAGAAGTAAATGGACTGTACTTATATAGCGCCTTTCTATCTTAGCAAAGTACTCAAAGCACTTTACACCACAATCTGTGTCCTCGTTTACCCATTCATACAGCACTCTACTAGATCTCTACAAAGCTAATTGAACAAATCATTTGAAAGAGACTAGGCAGTGCTTTGAGATCACATTCATACACTGATGGGACACACATCGGAGGCATTGAGGGGTTCAGTGTCTTGCCCTGAGGCACTTCGGCATGTGACTGCTGTTGGATTCGAACCCCCTAACTCTTGTATTGGAGGGCAACTTCTCTAACCACTCAGCCACAGCTGTCCCAACAGAAGTAATCTCTCAGTGTGCTACACCGAATACTTCTAACAAAACCAACATCTCCCCACCTGAAGACAACTCTCAGGAAAATGAGATCCTACCTCAAACCAAGGTAATGCCAGCCACACCTGATTGATCATTGGAGCTAACACTAGCCCAACGTGAAACTTTCTTGTGTTCACTGAGTCAATCACAATCCAGTGAATATTACCTCCCACAAGTGGTGATATTGGGGTTCAGGAATCTCAAGTGAGCGGTGTATTGTCTCTTTGGACTGACAAGTCTGCCATCAGCCAAGACCTTTATGAAGCCTTAGTGCTTAAACGCTCTAACCTCCAAACGGTTAGAAAGACTTTTCTAAATGACTTAAGATTGTCTCGTGCCTTAAAAGCTGTGGGTATTTGTACCCTCAGGCTTCAATGGAACCATAGAGAACTGAATCACTCATTTCTTGTGGTCCCAAACTTACCACACTGTTTACACAGGCTGACATTCTAGTCCTACTTGGTGTTCGGGTGGACACCATAAGTGATGTTGTGTGGTCACTGACAACCGTTCCTCAGGTCACCCCTGTCCCTGATCTAAACAATCTCAGATCCATACAGATAATTCATGAAGTTCATCAGGGAGCCTAACCAACAACTAAAAACCACCTCTGCTTCTGCTCATGAACATCTCAATGAAATTACTGAAGGACGCAAAACCTACCAAAACCACAAAGCCTCCCATGAAGAATTTCAAGTCGGAGAGAAGGTCTGGTATTACATCTTTGCCCCAGCCACTGGACAGAAAGCTTCCCAAACTGGAACGCTTACCCGCAAACTTAAGGTGGACTGGATCACATCTGATAACGGACAAACTGTCCCCAGTTGTGTACTTTATCAAAATTGACAAAAGTCAGAAAGAATCTATCCTTAAGTATGTTCACTGAAGCCAGATCAAGCCACATAGGGCTCGATCTAAAACAACAAATGGTAGAGAATCTTCAGACAACCAAAACATAGGCTAAACAAACTATTAAGAAGGTTTAAATCCCTATCTTTCTCAAAGTAGAGCCTTAAACTCACAAATTCTCAAACTAATAGGTAAGATAAAACACCTTAGACCTAATAATGAATTTTTAAGGAAAAATCAACTTTTCTTGACCACGAGATCCGACTGGAAGAAAAACAACTAAAGATCGGGAAAGATTGTAACCTACAAGTGGGGGTTGAATAACTTCGGGTTGCCATTGAGATTATGTGTTGTTTGTGTGCAAACTCAGGTGATCAACTTGTTAAAAGTTTGGTTTTTAAAATCCACTCAACACTAACCACAGGTGCCTTCTACACCAACAAACAGAATTATTAGACATAGAAGCCCAACCATCATCTATGGCCCTAAAGTGTGGAACTCATAAAGACCCATGGTTCCAAACTTCCAATTTTTTTAATTTTATTTCCCAAATTCTCCTATTGCACGTTTAATTCCCATTTAGAATGTAATAATTAACCTTTACAACACCTATGCCACAGATGCATATACAAAATCAGTGGCATTAGAGTCCCTTATTTTAATATTAGTACCTTTGATTTAGTGTACTTAAGAAACTTAGAACAATTTAGTTGTCAATTGATTTGACATTAGACTTGCACATTTTAAGATTTAGTTTACTTATTTGCATCATATAGACAAATAGTAAACTGAGTTGGCACTAGTAACCAGAAGAACCATCCAATCTATGTCATCGTCTTTGGTCTACACCATCATCCTTGGTCTACTATCATCCTCAGTCTACTTCACCATGCCTTCCAGAAGACATTGTGAATACCAATTGGAATACTTTTATTTTTGTTTCCCTTTCTACAGATTTATCCTTTGGACTTTGTGAAATACCTTCAACCTCCTGTTTCATTCATGGAACTCTACCGTGACTCTTTGTAATACTCCTAAAGCAAGGACACTGTTAGTTGCAATTCACCAACAAGGTACCCAAGGTATAAATCACAAGTGGGCGAATGTAACGTCCCACCTATGTCCTTCAAAGAGATAGAACATCCTGAGAGACACCACGTCTCTCCTACCCCCTTCTTTGTGTGCTCATCTCCCAAGAAAGGATGAGTCGACATCCTGGACCAAACTAACTGTATTATAATTAACTCTCAGTGCTAATTAACCCGAATGGTTGTTCGTCTCGTTTGTCTCTATGTGTCCCTGTGATGGACTTGCGACCCATCCAGGGTGTACCCCGCCCCTCGCACAATGATTGCTGGACATGGGCACCGGCAACCCTCATGACCCAAAATGGAAGAAGCGGGTAAAGATAATGGATGGATGGATGCTAATTAACTCACTTTACTGAAGAACAAACTTGGTGACACTTGACAGAGAGCTCAGACAAAGAAGTGAACTTTACCCTACTCACGAACTGTCATTGCCATGGTAAAGCATGAAGTTACCCCCCAAGTTGGATAGAGCTTCAACAAATGTCTTTATTTGTAACAATGGGGTGTCAGGATCAAACATGCATTTTGCTAAAAGAAATTGTGTTTATGTAAAACAAGGTGTCGCCATTTTCAGCAAATGCTATTGTGTTTCCTCCTTTAAAAACTTTGAGGAGAGGGTAAAATTAAATTAATTTATGCAGTTCTTGTTCACGCCCATGGGTTGGGAGCTACATTTTCATTGGTTAAAGATCAAGGGCCCAGCCACTTCTGATGTGTCAGGTAAATGGACACCAGAGGTCAGTTGTTTTTGGGCGGTTGCTGAGATGAGCAGTTGCTGAAAAGTTGTTGAAGAGAGTTGCAGAGAAGAACTCTCTGGAGGAAACAGCCATGATAGAGAGAATTCCATAAAATGTTCAAACACCCTGAAGAGTGATGCCCAGCTGGACCCTACATGGCCCTGGAGAAAACAACTTTCCAGTAACAGCACAGACCTCCGGCAAAGTCATCATATCCGCCATGGTAATGAGAAAATGGACAACTCCCTGGTAGGACATCTTCCTTCTGATGAGAAAACAACTAAGTGCCAACTGAGTTTAGACATAATTTAGTCACAAATCTGAGAGAAAGCTTACCTAAATTTTAACATTAGAGCTAAAACCTTAGTCCAAATTGAATCTATCCCGTCTCTATTATTTACATCATTTACTTTCTGAAATAATACTATTGGTTATGCATCCATATTTCATATTTGCCATAATTTTCATATTGTCATTATTCAAACTGAAAATAAACATTACATGATTGTGTATTTAAATTAGCAGAGTCTTTGTCTTGTCTTCGATTGAGGGGGATTAAAATTGTTAGAAGGACTCATGTATATAATTTTGGGGTTGAGGCCGGTCAACAATTATTACATAACTTTGAAGCGTTAGTGTATACACCTGCTAAAAGGTGTTCAGACCACAGCCTTGTCCCCTACACAACAAAGTTTATGTACTTGAACTTGAACTTGGACGACAGATTTTAACTTATCGGGGGGGGGGGGGGGGGGGTAGCCCCTAAAACTTGCAGTAAGGGAGTACTGTACTACAAACAAATCCCTTTGTTGGCACATTGACCGCTCCATACTACCAACATTTGTGAACAAAACATCAAGATACTTAAGATAAGATAGAACTTTATTGATCCTGCAGGAAATTGTTAAACTACATGGATCCATTCGTCAAGCAGCATCTCAAAAAGAGTATTCAACTTTTTCTCTAGTCAAGAACCATTGCTTGAGATAAATAAATAAACATCACTCAAGGGATGTTGTTATAAACCTTCACCAGGTCCACGAAATACACATGAACTGAGCAGTCAAACTTATACTATCCCCTCAGTAATTTACAATGGTAAAAATCTGATTTACGCTTCTACAATCTGGATGAATGCTACACTTCTCCTGCAGTCAAAGTTTGGCAGTCGCTTGAAAGTTGCTTTTCAACGCAATAGCATAAAGTTTCTCCAGGAGGCTGAGAAGTGTGATCCCCAATACACTGAATACACTTCCCAGCCAGAAATTGTGGGAGTAGGTGAACTACAGAAGAAGGCAATAGTAACAGATATAGATAATGGAGGACAGAAGAAGCTCATAGGACCGACAGAGGAATTTCAGAAGTTGTGGAAAATCAAGCCCTACTTTGTGCCACTTACCATCAGAGCACTTTGGGTCTTGACTGGGAAAGTGACTCTCTTAGATTCCTGAAACAATATTAAAGATGTCTGACCAGAAAAGTGCATTCTCTGGAACAGCAAAAAATGCAGACCCCTCAAGCTCCCGGGCCTCTGGCTAAGGACGAAAACATGAAGTAATTCAGGCCCTTTGGGGAAGTAGGAAGTTTTATTAGACCCTGAACTGATATCTAATCTGCGATTAAACACTGTGTTTTTAAATGCTTTAATTTTTGTTTTATGTTCCCTGTCAGCTGAAAAAGGAATAGAAGATGCAGTGAAAAACGAAGTCACAGAAGACACGCTGAAACAGATTGCACAAGTTGTTGTAACTGAAACAGACAGTCACTCACTGCTGTACATGCCCACTACCTTTGAGTCAGTATATGCTGATGATGCAGAAGCCATCATGTGAGCAAATATTTTGCTAACCTTTTCTAGTTTTTGATCATATTTATATATGTATACTCATAAAAGAGTTGATGATCTTTAGTTTCATTGTGCACGTTGTCCTTTTCCTCTTGTTTTCACAGAGAGAGAAATAGCTGGTATGCTGAGGTTTGCAGGAAACAAAGTGACAACCAGTGTTTGGATCAGTCTATGCAGACATTTAATGGACCGACTAAAAACAAGCAGCTTCAGAGTGATGGCCATGTCATGGTAGATGCAGGTTGGTTGCATGTATCTCAAATGCATGTCACCTCTACCTTGGGATGGTTTAAATATTTAACTGTTATATGTTTTTTATATCAATGTTGAGATGTACATAAACATGTATATCTGTGTAATCCTCAAATAAAGGTTGTTAAAATAAAGATGGGGCAGCACGGTGGCGCAACTGGTAGAGCTGCTGCCTCTCAGCGAGCAGGTCCCTGGTTCAAACCCCGGTCCAGGGGCATTCTGGGTGGAGTTTGCATGTTCTCTCCGTGCATGTGTGGGTTTTCTCCGGGTACTCCGGTTTCCTCCCACAGTCCAAAAACATGCATGTTAGGCTGATTGGTAACTCTAAATTGTCTCTATGTGTGAGTGAGAGAGTGAATGGTTGTTTGTCTCGTTTGTCTCTATGTGTCCCTGTGATGGACTGGAGACCTGTCCAGGGTGTACCCCGCCCCTCGCACAGTGATTGCTGGACATGGGCACCAGCGACCCCCGTGACCCAAAATGGAATAAACGGGTAAAGATAATGGATGGATGGATGGATGGATGGATGGATGGATGGATGGATGGATGGAAAATAAAGATGCAGATTAGATTCAAGATTGTCTGGAGTAACTGCCAATGTGTGAAACTGGGAGACCATGTGAATTTAGTCTTTGTTTTCTGTCACTTAATTGAAACATTTACTTAGTTTGTGAGTTTAGTTTTTTTGTCACACAAAGTCAAGAATTGTGTTTGATCACTTATGCAGTTTGATAAATATGTTTTATTTATTTATTTTTTAAATGTTCACAGCCACAGCTGTTTTCATCCTGGACACGTTTGACAGCCCTGAACAGGAAGAAATAGTGGATCAAGTGGAAAGTCTTGAAACTAAGAAGATGGACTCTCCTGAAAGTGTGAAGGACTCAAACAGAAGTGCAGAGAGGAGTTCGTCATTGGTCAGCTCATTCAGTACAGGTAACAATATGAGAAGAATAGAATAGAATAGAATAGAAATAACCTTTATTGTCCCTCAGTGGGGAAATTCAGGTGTACCAGCAGCAGAGTAACAGGTAAATCAAACAATGCAGATTCACACAAAGGTAGAAAATATAAAAACAGAATATGAATGCAACTGTACAATAAGAGTATATTAACAGTATAAGAAAAAAGTTTTAAAAAATACTATGCAGCTATTAAAAATAGCATACCCAGATTCAAAAGATGTGAACTGAGTAAGACAATTTAATTAATGTACAACATGTGCATGTGTTTTTGCACAAAAAAGAAAGCACACTATGTCCAAGAAATGGGAAAATTGTGCATGTGAGATCAAGGATGTAAGCACTTATTGAGTTTGTTGTGATCAGTCTGATACAGTCTGATACAGTCTGATACAGTCTGATACAGTCTG